TGGGAGGAAGCCGGAGAACCTGGAGAGAACCCACACTGCACAAGGAGAACATGCAAACAGCAGAAGAACCACTGATGCTAATCCATTCTAGCTTTAACAACAATATCGTGTTAGTGTTGTGCAAAATATGGTTCATCGAGTCACGATTTCTGGCCTGCCAAAAAAAAAAAACACAGTTCAGTCTTTTTGCATGTTTTCAGCGATTATTTTCTGACATGTAAAATGTGTTTAGAAACTAATCTCTCAATTTCTTTTGCGCAGACTTAAACCATATATTCAGCTCCACTGATTCACGCTCGCTTGACCTTGTGACAAACAACTGCTCCAGACTGCCTTTGTGCCTCCAAAGAATGAGCCCTTTTGAACATCCGTACAGTGTTCTGCAATATTCATCCGCACTGAGGGAACAAGCATTCAGAGCTCAAGAATTATCAGTCAGATTATCTTCTTGCACGAGCAACAACAGGTAGACTAATGTATTGCAGTGAACTTGAATGCATCACGTGTGGACAGACGTGCAGAGACATTCATGATTCTAACCTTTCACTTGTGGTGTGTGCACATATCCAGAAACAGTAGTCGGTGCTGATATTGTGATGGGCTGCAACAAAGATATCAGTGTGTTAGAAGCAACGGAATAGCTTTGGAGCATGTGATGTGCTCTCAAATGGGATTTTACTGTGTAGAAATCATAACATTTTGGGAATATTGGTGCACATTTACAGTCTGAATAGTGAGTCAGCGTTTGAACATGATTTTTTAATGTAACTCTGATAGAAAATGTCCATTTCTGGGCTTGTTTTCTAATGTGCACCTAATACCGTCATCAGTCTCCATTGGTGCGGCTAGACTAACTGGTAGGTAGCCAAAGATTGTCTGAGCTGACCAGGGACCGACTGCGCCGCTGCTTCGAGCACGCCGCTGGTGGATTCAGGTAGTTACTGTGAGAACGGGTTTCGTTGTGACAGGTGTCTTGACAAGCAGTGGGAAGTGTTTATTAACCTGCCACTCACCACGTTCCCACTCGCCCCGCAGGGAGGAAATATAAACCCTCCTGTCACGTCTGTAATTTCCACTTACATGTAACCGTGTCGTTGGATTGTATTTGTTCATAAAAATATCAGTTTAAAAACCTTCTGCAACCTGTCTGCTCGCTTCTGGGCGCGTTTCAGTTCCCCCTGTCTGCACCGTCGTCCCCCATCGCGCCACCTCTGCTGTGTTTCCCGACAGAAAACACGAGGAGAGGTGCATCGACGTGTCTTTCAAAGAAGCTAAATCCAGGCTTAGCCCTCTGAACCGGCCGTTTCTGGGTGGTGTTTGCTCCTGTCACGGTTTTACTCGCTGTGGGGGCTCATTTTGCGCTGCAATATAAAGACCTGCACCTCCATGGAAACAGCACAGCCTTGGCTACAAATACAGACTCTAAAATGTTTTTTTTGTGCAGTATGACAAAATTCTGATGGCATAAAAAAATGACATTTAATTCACAAAAAATTAAAGAAGCCTGGCATCAATGGGTACAACATTTGTTCATAAGTGTCAATAAATGTTACCAATACTTGAGAAAATGCTGAAGATATTTTACTACTTATATTTTTAATTTAGTTCCATCATTATCTTCTGCTTGGTGTTAACACAAACCCTGTTCAGCCAAAAACTGCCTGAATTTTTCTTTATGTGACCGTTGGCTTTGTTTTAGTTGCCAGTGGTTGCAGTGAGTAAAGCAGGATTGTGTGCTTTTTAAAAAAATTTTTAGATTTGGTTAAATTCCCCGACCAAATTAGTAGTTCAGATGCCATCAAGAAGTTCAAATTCCAATTATCTTCTGTGTTTTTCCACTTTCTGACTGATAAATGGTGTCATTTTTGGTGATTTTGTCAGGACAACATATTTCTGAACTCACCGGTGGGTTCAGAGGGTTAATGAGACATCATGTGTCGGAGCTGATTCCAGTCTACCAGAAATCAAACTATGTGTGAGGTAGCTCCTGCGCATTCGTTTAATGAAGCAATAGGAGAAGATATTTAGGTCTCACTCAAGGTATTTATTTAGCAGATAGTTGACTAAGCAGACAGAACTCTGGATCAAACTTCTCACCCTCGTTAATATCAGGATGCGACATCTGACTGACTGCCTCGCCCTGATCCAGGGTACTTTATACTATTACATGAGGATGTGCACAGAATGTGTTGCAGCGAGCTGATTGGTTCCTCCGTGTCCTTGGGCCTTCTTCCACTATCTCGTGGGTGCAGAAACTTGCCACTCAGCACCCAACTGTTGAGCACCTTCAGTTCCTCCCTCCTGCTTCTGACAGAGTAATATACACAAACCACCAAGTCCGGTCTCTACTTACGCTTTCTCATGCTGCAGTTGTTTACAGATTATGTTGATTATGCCTTGAGATAATAATGAGAGGTTAAGAGAATAATACGAGATTATCAAGAGATTGTCAAAAAATGCATGATCCTGACACATGTGAGATGCCCACTAGCGACTATTCTGCACTTTCATGCAGCTTTACTCTGCTGTTTGGACTTTTACTATTTTGATGTTTGCATCTCAATCTAATGTGTGTCCCAGAAGCCCTGTTTGTACAGACGTAGAGCGAAATTAGAGCGTAGGAATGTCCTTCATGATGGCCGACTCCATCGATTTCTAAGTTCTGTGAGGATCAAGTAATGAGGATTGATCAAATTAGGGAGCCCGTGTTTAAATGGATAGAAAGTGATCGGGCCAGCGACTTCCTCTCTATTCCATCATTCAGCTTAAACACACAGCTGACTGTGTAATCATTGAGAAAAGCAGCAGGTAGCAGGTGAGGATGTTCTGGCAGCCTGGTAGCTACACCTCTGAGTCTATAGAGTTTGACAACAAGCCAATCATCATTTAACCAGTCATTCACAAAACAAAACGGTCCAACAGTCCCCGTCAGTCAGATTAACATTTCATCATCCTGTTATGTGACGGTCAGTGAAGCAGATGAAGTAACCTCCGAGCATTACATCACGAAGAACTGCTCTTAATCCTTCGCCGAATTACATATCACAGTAGTAAAAAAGCAAATGTTTACTTCACATTGTTTTCTGCTCAGCTGCGAGGAAGAATGATTGTTTTTTTTGTATTGCATTCGGTGCAATCAGGATTCCCCGCCACGTACTACAGGAAGATCTCATTGTTGTTTTATTCATTCAGCACTGCTCATTGAAAAGAAAAAAAAAAAAGGGACTTGTGGTGGCGAGAAAGAGGACACATTGCCCTCCAAAAAGTGTTTGTACAGCAGAATGAAATGGCAGGTTTTTTTAGCTGCTTAGGGCATCAAAACACGACAAGTAGATTTTAATTCACACGTCACACAGAAGCCATTTTAACATAGAATTCCCCGAACACGTTTTAGTACTGTACATGTGCAGTAGAGGCCTGGAGGAGACTGAAATATCCTGATCTATAGCCCACGATTGTTCTGTATGTGTGTTTTGTTACTGTCGTGGGATTAACGCTCGCTGCAGGTGATCGTGTGTACGAGCGGTTCTATCATTAGATCGCAGCCCTCGACGCCAAAACACAACCACATTAGGCTTTTTCACAACCTCCCACGACCAGCGCCACCGCTCCAGCTATGGAAATTAAATCAATAAAGGAGGTCAGCAAGTCCGCTGCTGTCAACGGTTTTCCAGAGGAGTTAAAGGATGTGGCTGTCCCCTTCTTCCGGTTGGAGGCCAAAGGGGGGGAGAGCATAAAACCAGACGCTGACGAGATTAGAGCCGCAATAAAAACGACAGGTTAGAGGTTGGCTTGTGTTATACATCATGTGTGACCTTGCGGGGCTTTTGTTGACGGGAGGTTTGCAGTGCTCGTAGTGCAAACAACAAGATGCATGTGGAGGTGAAATATTGCAGCCCGAACTTAGACATATAATAAATGGTGTCATCTCTTTCCTCTGAAGTCATCGTTGATATGAAATTCTCACTTTGTAAAGTGGATTTATTGAAAATGGTTTAAAACAGGGTTAATTCTGTCAGTATTCTAAACAGATTGTGTGTTTTGTTGTTGGTTATCCTAAACTCCCCTTAACCCTAATGGTCAGTTAAACCCTGAGACCACTTTACTGCTCAGAAAACATCATTGTTTAATTATTTATACCGCATAGCTTTTTAGAATTTTCCGAAAAAATTGCTTTAAAACACGATTTTGAACTGAGGTTTAGGAGTTCAGGTGACTGTTTTTGCCATTATCCAACAATCTGCCAATTTTTTCTCCCATTAAATGTTTTTTAATTTGTTTTGTATTTATACTTAAGACAACTTTGAACCATGTCCATTACCATTTCAGACAGAAAACCTAAATACATTAAAATAACTGTAACGTCAAGACTTAGAAAAACCTCTAAACCTCACATTCAGCTAACCCTCACCCAACAGAAACCTTGAAATATTTGGCAATTTTGCTTGAAAGTTGACTTAAATAATCTATTGTCCACATGTCTGCCATTTCCACTTGGTTTTTCTTTTCTTTTTCTCAATTAGTTTGTAAGAATAGTTTAAATTGGAGTTAAACCTGCTAACTAACTCCAAACATACTGTACATTTCTTTGGCAATGCTATTTAATACTTCACTTAGTTATACCCTTATCCTGATGTGTGGAGAAAATAAACACACATTGTAGCTTCAGCAGGCCGAGAACTGAGCTGGGTGCTCGTTACTAATGACTTTGGTGCTCATGTGGTATCCAACTGAACCGCCTGGCTTTTGGGTCACCCTGGAAATTAAAGGGCAACAAATATAACCAATAAGTCATGTCTGAAAACCATTAATTAAATCATGGAAACAATCACACATACTAGGTTCAAATAAGTTTAAAGAAAGGAAGTATTTATGTATGTTTTGTATTGCGGTGTGGGGAGAGAACGCCAACGCACAACAAGGATGAATGACTCCTCCCTGGAAGCAGTTGTCCACACAGCCACTAAAGTCGCGTCTCTCTTCCCTCCCATGTGCCACAGGGTTGCCGTCCGCCATGTTAAGGTAAAGCCCAGGTGCGCGGTGTTGACCATGCTAAAGCGCCTGGACAAGATCCGCTTCCGGGGCCCCAGGACGAGAGACGACTTCCCGGATCTGGCCGAGTCGCCACCTGCCTCCGACAACGAATGTAGCGACGACATGCAGCTGAAGCCCAGATCGGCTCTGCGGGACACAGATGACGTCCTGCGAGACCCTGTGAGTGCTCACCAGGCATTTCTATATGTATGTGTTTGTATATAATGCTTTGTGTATATAGTACTTTGTTTAAATTATTTTTATTTCTTGCTGCTATTGTCGTGTTCTTCCACACAAGTTTCGTTGTACTCCTGCACAATGACAATAAAGTCTCTTTATCTTATCTTTATCTTGTGTGGTTGGGCTGGGCTTTTAACTGACCGACATATTGTACAGACAGCATTTCAGCTCCGTCTTTTGCATTTTCTCTTTTCTTTAAACATTTATGTTTGGACCTTTTTGATGTCTTTCTCTTTGCGTTTTCCATCCTGTCTGAGTAAAGACTTGTTTTTGTCCCAAGTCAGCCTTGACTGGGTCGACACATATGGAGGATTCTTGTTGATATGCTCATGAATTATTCTGTCTGAAGAAGATGCTCTCACCTCATTTCTTCACAACAAAAAAAAACAGAGGGATGGGAACGTGCATTAGCCGCCGTTTCACCTCTCTCTCGTTGTTTAAGCATCCTTTGCTTGCTTTGTTGAACGTTTCAGTAAAAGCAACACCACCCCGCTTCTTTTTCAAGCCCGCTTCTTTCCTGCTTATACCCCGAAGAGGAAAGGACGGAGGGAGGGCTTGTCACGATAAAGAAAAATGGAGGAGATGACAGCATTAAAGGTTTCCCAACGGCGGACATGACTTGGAGATGGCAATCGGCGGCAGACAAGAGCGGAAATAGCGAAAGCAGCGCTGAGATGAACAGATATTGGACGGCAGGAAGAGGATGAAAAACGGAGGCAAAGAAAAGATTAAAGCAGGGAAAGTGATGAAAGAGGCAAGAGGACAAGAATTTAGCCCCTGAAGATTGGACTCCGAGATGTCTTGAGGGGAGGACGTGGACGAGATGGAGAGGAAATTGTGAGAGAGGAGATTTTCAGCCCCTGTGATAAAAATAAAAACGGATCACGTTTACTGGTATTTTTTTTCCCTCCCACGTCAGACGCTCTTCACATTTCATGAATCTGCACTTCTCTCTTGTCCTTGCTGTTGATGAAAACACCGGCACTGTCGTCATCATCTTGCGCACGCTTTGATAGCACGATACCCGAATTAAATACACCGGATTAGTCACTTGATGGTATCATTTCCTGAACAAAGGCCCAGGGGATCTCTGTCCTCCTTTTATTATTTCCTCTGCGTTTCTTTTCCAACAGATAGTTGATGTAACTGTTGCACGGGAGTCTTTTTGAGTGTTTTCCTGCGTACCTCCGCTCAAAGCCTGGTGGACGTAAATGAGCAGTTTCCAGCAAGTCAGTGATCTAGCTGACGGCCCTTTCATCGTACTCTCCAGGCACGTGCCAGTATTTGCATGCACTGTGTTTTCATGTGTGCACCTGTGCGCCGGTGTTTGTATGTGCTCTGGTGTTTGGCTGCGTGAGAACCGGCCCACTGGGAAGGCATCGCCCACATCACAGCACTGATGAGTCACACTCCACAGCCCCAAAATAGACCGAGCTAGCTCTTATCCCTGCTGGGACGCACTCACACATGTGAGGCATGCACTTTCTCCCACAAAATACGCCATCCCATTCTGTATCTACAAGCCGCCAGTGCACGTTGGGAACCTCATCTTCCTCGTGCGGCGCCCTTCACAGATCGCTACTGGCTCGCTGGAGCACGCTCAGACTGCGATGATGTCTGCCTCTTTACCTTCCAGCGTCAGATCACATGACCTCGGTCTACACCTCACCTTCATTTCCTCGTTTGTTCAAAAGAGGACAGAGTGTGTCCTTGGGCTGTAGAATACGTGCACTGATGCTTTTTGACAAACTAACCTGGGTCATCCATATTAAATAGGGGGAATGTCATTGGACAGATGGTGTTCAGTCATTGCACAGACGACTGCATACGACCCCACTGGCCTCTTCTTACTTTTCCTACTAGATCAAGCAGCGCCCTCACTGCATTTGTCATTGAAACCAATATCTGTCGCACTTATCAGGTAATATTTGAAATGGCAAGTTGGCGTAGCTTAAGACAATACCCGAAGTACACACAACGCAATTGTTCAAATATAATAACAAATGAATGCCAGTTAATTTGATTTAATTTAATTTCTAATGCAGTCCAGATGTAGCCTTCTGAATCCTGAACAGATTCCGTCTGTTTTTTTGCTCCTGCAACAGTTTTTGCACACTGTAGGCTAATTTGTCACGTCACCATAACTTCCAGCACCTCTATGGAAATAAAAATCATGACTAGAGGAAGAGAGAATGCAAACTTATCTTTTGTGCAGTATGACCAAGTTTTAATGCCATAAATCATTAAAAAAAGGAGAATATGAAAGTTGAATAGAGAGAGTAGAAACTCCAATGATCCTCTGTTTTTGCCGTTTGTGGCTCTGTTAACTGGTGTATTTCTGGTAGTTTCTTTTAAAGACGGCATGTTTAAACCCACCGATGGGTTGTTGGATTCAGAAGGTTAAATATATTGCTAATAATATAATGACACACCCTGATATGTGTATACTTTAATTAGACACATTTTTTTTTTTTTTTTTTACATTAAATATCTTAAAGATAAACTGTCACGTATTTAAAATGTTAAATTAACCAACTATTAGTGCTGGAGAGCTCTTCAACCTGCAGTCTGTACACGCACTAGTCATGAACACTTGAGCCTGTAATCATCCCCTTAAGATATAAATCAGGTCTCTTATCTCTCTCAGTTTCATAGGAAGGGTTAAAGAGCAGTTCAGTAATGGCAGAAAAATCCCTAAACGCCACTGTAATCGGTCTGAACACAATCTAAATTGTAATCTTTCTCTTTTGAACAGCAGCCAAGCTGCAGGTTGTTTTTTTTATGGTTTTGACGTATCTATTGCAGAACATCAAGGACATGGGTTTAAATTTTTCAGGAGGCTTAATAAAGAGCTCCAGAACCTTGCAGCTACAGCATAAATCACTGTGGTGCTTCTGATTTTTGTCCTGTGCTGTTCTGATCATACCTCCAAAGCAGATTCTGTTCTTGTTTTTTCTTTTTAGCTGTTTCATTTCATTTTAAAGTGACTTTTTGAGGTGTGCAGAAATGTCCTCCTGATCCTCTGTCAACAGCAACTGGAGGATTTTTTTGAGATCGGTTTCAGCTTGGGTAGGGAGGAAGGTGTTCGGTTTCACTGGCAGAAAAATGAAAGTAGAACAGACAGTACAGATAAAACACAGTCTGTCTGTCAGGTAGAGTTGAACAGCATTATCTGCTACACCGTCAGCATGTTGGAGCTTCCTTTGCTTTGTTTTTAAGCATGTTGTAGCTGAAAAAGTTGTTCGATTCACACAATGCTGTCACTTTTGCATTGAATGGCCTCAGCTGGTTCTTTTTTAAAAAGCAGCTACCAGACTCTAATGGAGTGCAGCAACTAATCCACACAGTCACCTCAAATCAATGACTATATTTGTTCCTACCAAATTTCATTATGAGTTGTTTTATTGTGCTGACTTGAAATGCTGTGACACAAAGACGTTGCTGCTCACTCTCTGTCCTCATCCATACGACCCTCTAAAAGGTAATACCAATGCTTACTCGAATCACATGAGTGTACTTTACTTATTTCTCAATGTCCTGTTCATTTAACTCATGGACTGTGAGTATGAACTCATTTTTCCTTAAAGAGTTATAAAACTGAGGACACTTGAGGAAACTGGACTTGAAACGTTCTGTTCCTGGACTGAACACAGAGCTCAGCAGTGCACATGTGCAGCAGAGAGAAGAGTAGGAGAAGTTTCCACGGGGTGGCTGTGGCTCAGGTGTAGAGTGGCTCGGTGGAAAGTTGGCGGTTCGATTCTGCCCTGTAACCTGTATCCTTGGGCAAGACACTTCACCCACCTTGTCTGGTGTGAATGCGTATGAATGGATTGTTTGAGGTGGTGGTCGGAGGGCAGAATGGCTGCCACGCCTCTGTCAGCTGTGGCTACAACCGTAGCTACCACCACTGGGATGAATGTGTGTGAATGAATAATCAACAGTGTAAAACGTCTTTCAGTGTCTAGAAAAGCACCATATAAATCTGATCTATTGTAATTATTTAAGTTTCTAACCCTTGGAAAGATCAAGTTCATTTTTAAGTTCACAAAATTAAGTAAATACAGCTAAAATTTAAGTAAAATTTACAAGTAGATATGAAGTAAACTGAATGTCAGACTAATGGTTATATTTACTCACCTTTTTTGAGTGCAACCAGTTTCCTAGATTCGTTTAAGTAACATCAACTTTTCACATTTTACAGTGTAGAATAAAGCTGGGTGTTGGAAATTGTAGTGTTATAGCTGCAGTTCATGTAAATTGCAGTTCAAAAGATGTTTTATGTCTCTATTGTTAGTCAGCATAAAACAAATTCCAGCTAAATTTGAAAGCTGACATCTAAATCACACTCATTGAATAACTGTTTGATTCATTCATTCAGTAGGTGCAGCAGTTATGTTCTATTTGAGCAGATACACAAATGTTCATTCACAAGTGCTGCTGTGCTCTATTAAGAAGTTTTATTTCCCGACTGGTCACATCCATTTGTTAGTCCTTCATCACTGGACGATCAACAAAATCCTGCTCGACCAGTAATCTGCCAAACATGAAGACGCTCTCTTGTGACGTTTGTTTGTGAGCAGAACAAGGCTTTGAACTCACATCCTCTTCGTTTCTCCTCCTCCTGTGAGACTCTCAATGGAGCTCGAGAGAGAGAGAGGCTTAAAATGTACACGACAACAGAGAGGGAGTAGAAAAAGCATGTGAGGTCCCAGGAGCTGTTCTCCAGGGTGGACGAGGATATATTTATTTGATAGTTCTGTGCTGGAGCAACCGTGTAGTTCGTGATGGTGTTTTTCTGTAGCCAGAGAGAAGAGGAAATGAATGACGAGAAGAAAGAGCTCCAGGGAGTTTGGGGATATCAGTTAATCTCTAAAACAAGAGAGGGGAAAAAAAAAAAGAGGCGTGGGCAGTATTAAGATCTCTACTGAGTCCACACAGAATTTGCAGGTTGGGTTCATCAACCTTATGAAAGAACTGGAGCAGGAAATGATGTGAGTTGCAGAACTGGGCCCACAGTGTGGAAATAGTGCTGAGAGTTGTGGCTCAGTGGACAGGTCACTCTGTGGAGGGGAGGAAAAAAAAAAAAAGAAAGGCTGTGTGTCGAGTTGCAGTGGATTAAATGTGGTTCCTGACAGAGCTCACCCCCACGCTTATCCAGTCGAGGGAGGAAAAGAGCAAATCACGGAGACGCTAAGAAATCAGAGCTTTGTCTTTCTGTACATCGACAAGTGTCTGAATGTTCTGAAATGATTTTGGCTTTTCTCTATGCTGTCAGATCTGGAGTTGGAAAATGTCGTCATCTGCTACACATACATGAGAGATTACAACACAATAGGTTCAGCTCAGTGACCTTATGAGCACCTTCTGTAGAACTAATGGTTAAATTATTGAGAGCTCCGTGCAGGTGTGACGCCAACACGCTATAAGACACGCTGGACATTTTCTGCTCACAGCATGTTAATGGATGTTTTTTTTTTTTTTTGAGCTCACATCAGTCATAAAAGAGAGAGAGAGGGAAGACGACAATTAATCATCCGATAATCGTCCAGGGTGACGTCAGGGCTCGACCTACTTTTGATAACCGTGAGATTCTGACTGACCGCAACAAACATCATGAGTCAGTGCATCAGCTTTCGGACCACGACGAAGCTGGGAAAAAATCCAAACAGCGTTCAAGCTGAGCGCTCGTAATGCAGCAAAAACTTCTCCTCCTTCCGTCTCCATCACTGCTTTTTTTCGTCCTCTCTTTTATCCTCCTGTCTCCATTTAATACTCATACCCTTCTTTCTCCCTTTCAGCCAGCATCCTTTTTTTTTTTTCCCTCCGTCATGACACACTTCCAGAAGAGGCTCTCATTTGTTTTCTTTGAAGTGCTTCTTTATTCAGGGACGCTCTATCCATCTCTGTATCCCTTCTCTCTTGTTAGACTCTGGCTCTCTCCCAGAGCACATGTTTTTTTCAGGTCACTGTCAGTTTTCTGCTATCTCTCTCTCTCTCTCTCTCAGTCTTTTTGCATCAGTTAAAGACATTGCAGTGAGCCTATGCAGACACACACACACAAACCATGCTGGTTGCTGTCGGGGAGAAGCTGCTGCAGCAATATGTGTGTGTGTGTGAGTGTGTGTGGCAGGAGTCTCTTAAAGGACCCTTGCTGTAGTCGAGCGGCGATGCTCAACCTGCAGTGCTCATCATCCGCTAACACAATCATCCCTCTCCTCCTCGTCTCGCTCTTTCCTCTTGCTCCATCACCGGCTCACCCCTGTTTCCCCCCACCTCACACTTCCTCCCTCGTCCTCTCTCCTCTCACACTCCGTCATCTCTCAAATCATTTTCGTTCGCGCCGTCCACCTACCAGCCTTGTGTGTCAGGGTTAAAGCCCTTAGTCAGTGCTGTTTGAGTCATCACTGTTGCTGTAGTCAGAAGGGGGAGGGCGGGGGGGATTCTCCTCTTTTTTTTTTTTCGGCTTCCTCCTCCTATCTCGCTGGACTTAAACCGGGAGAGGAAACATTAGTGTGAGTCACCGTGCTAATCTGCGTGCGTATTAGATCATATGGGATATCCCTGCGTGTGTGCTCTTGTATGTATTTTGTACTTGGAATTCTAAAGACAAACCTGTCTCTCTTTTTCTTTTTTTTTCTCTGTTTGTGGTTGCAAATGCTTGTGTGCATGTGTGTGCATGTACCTATATGTGTACACTTGTGTGTGTGTTGTATGCATGAATGTGTGTGTGTGTGCGCACAGGCTGGCTCGGGGTCTCCCACAATGGCTGCAGCCATTCAGGACTTCCAGAGGTCGGAGTCAGACCGACTCAACGAAGTTAAAGGTCACTTGGAAATTGCCTTATTGGAGAAACATTTCCTACGTGAGTACGCATGCACAACACAAGGCAACACTTTTTCAGAATATGTCTTTTAAAGCTCATTTAATCGGTCGCATTGCATTTATTTGGACGTGAGCCTCATTCTTTGAGAGCTTTAAAATGTCTTCAAACTACTAAACACATCTAAGTTATGTTGTTGGGTATATAGCCAGACATTTGCCTCGAGCAAATCTGTGTTTTTTTTTTTTTGCTCCTTCGCTTCTCACATTTGCTAGCCTTGCCTACCTCTCATTCAGCTACAGATTTCCTACATTCCTTGGAAACTCTCCTTGAAAAGCTGGCATTCGGCATACAGTATGAAGGTGGCAGAATTGTTTGCAGCAGTGAGGCCAAGAAAGCAACATAGTGAGATTAAGTGTCTGCAGAAATGTGTTGCACTGGTGACTGTACGTTGTGAAGATACGGCCTCTTTCATCAGTTTCTTATCTGCACAGCCGTTCCTACAGTGTCTGATTGTGTACCAAACGTAGCAGTAAGCCTCTATTTGAAAAGATGGTTTTGGTTAAACTCACTTGTGGCTGTAATGAAAATCTCTGCTCTACATCTCTCGCTGACACGCACTGATGTCTCATTTCTTCACAATAACCACACTGTGACTTGTCTTTTTTTAAAAAGTGCTTGTACATTTAGCGTCGTGTAGCTCTTGACAAGCTGCTTTCAAAGGGTCTGTCAGATTAATATAATGTCATGCATCTTTGACTCTACACCGAGAAAAGTGTTGGGTTTAAGCTGAAAGCATCTTGTGATATCAGCGTTGTTTGTGGTTTAACAGCCTCAGATGACAGTGAGCTTGGGTTCATTCCGTGCTCTTGGACGCTGTGTACGACTTGATTGTAACAGACAAGCAGTTCAACATAACCATGTGTTTTTCGACTCGCCAAAAAAAGTTGACCTTCAGATCTTGCATCAGTAAGCAGTTCTTTGTTCCACTGCTTGCTGTAACGTTTGATGTTGTTAATTTCAATGACACGCCCAAGTTCCAGAGCAACATCGTGTCTTATGATCAGGATTTCGCATAGCAAAGCTAACTGCTCTGTGTAAAAGCAACTTTTCTCCTGTTTCTCAGAAGCAGGCGATAAAAGGGAAACAAATGGGCACACAGCATTAAACGAACTTGGATGACTGCGTAATCTGATCGTTAATGTGGCTGATAACAATGCCAGTAACATCCTGTTTTGGTAACTGTATGTTAGCAACCCTGAAATTACACTGGAAGCATAATGGAAGCAAGCAGCTGCGGAGCTTGTGTTAATCAATTTAGCATGCTACGCTGAGAGGCAGACTGTGAGGTTATGAAGCAGCAGTGCACCCTCAATAACCCTGCAGAACCTTTTATGTATCAGTTTGTTTTACGGCTGTGGCTCAGGTGGTAGAGCGGGTTGTCCTCCAGTCGCAAGGTTGGCGGTTCGGTCCCCGGCCCCTCCACAGTCGAAGCGTCCTTGGGCAAGACACTGAACCCGAAGTTGCTCCCAATGGCAGGCAGCACCTCGCATGGCAGCTCTGTCGCCATTGGTGTATGAATGTGTGTGAATGAGAAACACATTGTAGAGCGCTTTGGATAAAAGCGCTATATAAGTACAGACCATTTAGAGAATGTTCGTGGCTATTCGGGGGCTTTGGTCAGTCTAAATTAAACAGTATATTTATTAAACGACAGATAAAGCTCAGTAGTTTGATGAAATATCTCAATTTTAGGTCTAATTATAAGGTTTTTTACAAAGCTTTTACTTCTCGGTGTTCCTCCGCACATCACGTTTGCTCAGTTGCCATGGAGTTCATTCAGTGACCTAATTCTAACCGCTGCTCACAATATAAACCAATCAGCCAAAGAGCAGGTGATAAAAATCCCTCGACAATGCCAGGCTAGGACAGACTGTGCTGAATCAGCAAGGACTACCAGAAGCCTGAACAAGGAGTGAACAGATCTGCCCAAAAGAGGGAAACCGTGTGACATCTACAAGCCAAACAATTATTTGTCACATTCTATTTCTTTCTCAGTAGGTGCAATGAAATGTTTGATCTGCTATAATGTTCAGAAGAGTAGTAGTGATGATTACAAGCCTGCCTAACCACTTGGATTCATATTCTGCCTCGTGTACATCCAGAGCAATGTAGAGCCTTTCAGGAGTCCTCGGTTTCTGGTTCAGAAATGGTGGGTTTTAACTCGTGTTTTGCATTATTTGTCCTGTTGCAGATTCCAGCCTATTTTTAGTGTGAGTTTCTTGACTGACTGCATAACATTTGCATTCAGGACACTTGCTGACGACAGAACCGACTCTATGACAACTGAGCAACCTCCCTCCCTCCCTCCCCCCTCTGTGGAATGGGATTGATAGCTATGAAAACACAGAAAAGTGGGTCTTGGGTTAACATAGTTTAAAAAATCTCAAGGTCAACTGTAAGCTGTTAAATCCAAGGAGCTGTGTTTGACAACATTTAGCAGGATTACGACTCCTACACGGCGCAGCATCCACCAGCAGCTCTCTAACGTGCTTTCATTACATGTTCAGCGTAGCTTCGGGGTGGGATTGCGGTTCTTTGCACTCCTGACAAAAGTAATATTCCTGTGTTATAGGATAGCCGAGGTAATTTGAGGCTTGGGGGAAGTGATAGATTTATCTGTGGAGATTAAATAAAAATAGGAGAAATTGTAGAGTTTGTGCAGAGGCAAAGTGGGAAAGCAAAAAAAAAAACAGCAGCCGGATGATGCTCACCCAAAGTCCAGCCTCTACACATTTCCAAGCGTGTCTAACCTGGTATCCGATAAGGGGTACTTGTTGTCCTGTACCGCTGCAGCACGTTGCCAGTCCCATGGTGTGTAATGGACTGTGAAGTGTCCGTGCCCCCCCCCCGCCTCTTTCCCAGTTTGCCTATGTAAGTCTATTAGAGAGAAAGTGAGAGAAAGGCAGAGCGAGTGTGTGTGAAAGAGAATACCTCAGGCGATGTCCTCTCTCATGATGCCTTTGCCGGAGCTAAAAGGGCCGGACTCATTGTCACCCCGTCAGGATGCTAGTTAGACGAGCTTTCCCTCCGCGAACCTCACCTCCTTCCTGTTTGCCCTTTCCTCGCGTCCTCGTTGTTCCTCCTTCCACCCTCCCTTTCCTTTAAAAGAAAAAAAATCCTCTAAAGCTTTTTCTTTTTATCCCACTGAGCTGCTCGTTCAGATTCCGCCCGCCATTGCCTGCTCTCCCCTTTTTCTGGATCAGCTCTGTTTTTCTTTTCCCTCATTCATCCTTCCTTACCTCCTCTTCGTCATGCTTGTGATTCACCTTTCCCCTTTATGCTTTCCCTCCGTCACACTCGGCGCTGTGATCTTCTGAGATTCTTCTAAAATCTACCGAACACTCAGGCAGGTGAAACAGCTGCGACAGCTTCATGAGCTCAGAGAGTTGGGAGCAGAAATGTTGTGCCTAAGATGGCAGCCACTTGGCATTTCGTACGGGGATGAACCTTCATAAACGCTGGCTTCCGCTGATTGGGAAAGGGTAGCGCTACCTCTAGGTGATGTTGTATTCTCTAGGGTCACTTCAAGTGCTTCATGTTTGTATTCCTGTCTTTGCAGCGTCTTCTCCACGCCTCTCTGACTCTGTGGTTATCTTTTCCTCCCATGCCTCTCAATCTCCCATCTCATCTCTGGCCGGAGAAATCGTTCTTGGGGGAAACAGTGAAGCATGACAATCCATTAGCACCTAATGGAGTCCTGAGCTCTCTTCCCTGTCCTTTAGTTATTGTGCATTCTATTTCTACTGTTTTCCTTTGCACTCTCCTCCGCTGTCATCGTACCATAAACATCAGACTGCTGTGTGTATACGATTCTGTGCACAGTAGCCTGCGACACAATCGGTTATTTGTCATGTGTTGAGAGCAGATGAAAACAGACTTATGTACACAGTTTGTCATCAGGTAAAGCTGATGAGATTAGTAGGGGGAAACAAAACACTGCTTGTAGCAAAACATTATAGGTTTAAGCGTTGCGTAATGGCTTTTCCGGAACGTAGGTAATATAGAAAAACAACATGCTATACTGTGAGAAGACCGGCCAAAGTTCGCATGTTAAAATGAAACTTAAATCCTTGAGATGGAATCCCAGAGAGTGCACTTTGATACTAAAAGCCTCGGCTTTCTGTAAGGAGCAAACATTGCATCCTGAGGCCTGCAGCAGTTCGCCGTGGCTGCACCGTCTTGTTCCATTACTCACTGTTATGTTTAAAACTCATCAGGTGTCAGAAATGCTGGATAAGACCTCTGTCTTAGTTTTGATGAATGATCGCTGCCAGCGCTAACCACAGTGACGAGCACATTGTGTTCCCTGTGACTGGTCAACGCGCCGGTGGATCATTTATTATGAAGCAGCAGGAATTGTTTGGTAGAACAAATGCGTTCCTTCAACGTAATTGTTCTGTCATAGTGTCTGTTGTTATTGGTCACCTGCAGCAGGAGTCCAGCTAGTTCAGTGTAAAAGTTTCCAAAGACCCAAGCCTTCCAAAGTCTGGGAAGAGTCCAGATTATCAGAGAACAAAAAGGTGGTTTGTGCACTTTCAAGGTTCAAGGTTCAAGGTGACTTTATTGGTACCTGTATGTAGAATTGTTCTGCAGTAGCAGGAGAAGGCATCTAACAATCCACACAGACATTTAAAACACAGGAGCAGAGACATCGATAAGTACTCACAGACTCACTGAACAGGATTAAAAGCGAAATAAAATAAAAGAACCACTAAAATGCCAATACAAAAACCTGCTTAAAGCATGGTGCAAAGGGGACAATAAATAAGTAAAACCAGGTGGGGCTTCCATTAGATAGAAATAAAAATAAGATAGACCTAAAAGTAAAGTGCACTAAGACTTATTTAAAAGAGAAACAGCAGCAGGAACAAAGCTGTTCCTATGGAGGGTTGAACAGAATCATGCAAGAACACCTGAAGAGAAAAAACACACAGGAGCTGTTTGCTTCTCTCCTGCTCTCTGTGCTCAACAAATATATT